ATCATTTAAGAAATTTATTACTGAATCAATACAAACCAAATTCACTATTTGCAATAAAAAAAGTTAATGTCCTTTAATAAAAAAAAAAACCAGTATGAAGTGGTTTGTATGTCTAGCTTTCTGCCAATTTGTGTCTGAAACATCAAGTTATAGTGCCGTAGAACTGAATGATGTTTACACTTGAACAATTCATTTTTTGCTTTGTTCTGTAGGAGGACCTGTTCTTATACACTGCTTTACAAGTAGAATCTTTAAAAATTTTTAATATTTAGTCAAAGCAATGCATCAATAAAGAGATTTGACACCTAGAAAGGATGTAATATTATTGTGTTACGAGAAAGTGTCTTTCTATCTAATTGCAATACAGTGGTGGTTCAGTGCTAATCTGGAGTACGAAAGTTTTGTTACGATATCAGAGACAAATTCAATAAAAAACAAAAAGAAAAGGCTGAAATAGGGACACCTATCTATTGATGAAGAAGAATAAAAGACTATGTCTCTAACGATAAAATGTCATCAGCGGCCATAACAACTCGATTTGATTATGAATTTGTTTTATAAAATTCGAAGCTGTTGATCTACAAAAATATAGATTTTAACAAAAATGCTTTGCTTAAAAAAGAATGAAAAATACCTTACGGTACCTTTAAAATTGTATACCTCTTTCGATACCTTTGATAGAGCTAACTTTTATTTTATTCGTTTTAAAAAAACAATTTTTTTACTTTTAGTTTATTTTTTAGAGGAGAGGCTTTATTCCAAACATGTTAATTTTTATATCTGAAAAAAAAAAATCCCTTTGGGCTAGTGTTAATTAAAAATAAAATGCACAGAAATTAAAGATTGGCACATGCTGAAAATGAAAGATATGAAATATGTATGGGTATTAATGCATGTGCTTGCAAAAAAGAATTTAACAAAAGACGTAAATATTTATTAAATTATTTATAAATGTATCTGAAATGAAGGATTTAATCATTCATAAACTCCTGTGAAAGTTACTGTGAAGAAATCTAATTATTAAATGTATCTAAATTTATAATGATTATAAATATTATCTAAAATATATAATACCTTAACATTGAATTGTAACATAAATTGACATCTTGTTGACAATACTTTTTAAAACGATTTAAGCCAGAATGTTCATACTGGAAAGCAATCTGGTAAAGGTATTGTAAAGCAATTTCTATAGAGTGTATTTAAGAAATTAAAAGAAGAGTTTTGGAATAGTATGTTGAAATTAAGGGTAAAAAATTCTAATAAGTAATTAAAAGAATTATTCCCCTTGCATTTTATAATAAGGCAGTTACAAGTTTAAAATAAATTAAAAAATAATACTTACTTTATTCCCTTTCAGAAGTATTCAGGGAGGTTAAGTACTATTAAAGTATTTCGCTATTAAATTAAAAGGTGTTCTAATTTGAAATGACCGATAGTGCATATTATAAAATCGACTTACAGTTTTCGATTAAAAAGATGCCTTAGAAGCTAAAAAATAATGTCATAATTGAGAAAGTATTTTAGGAGAAGCTCTATAAAAAAAAGAAATAATGCATAATTTTAATAATACAATAAACTTTTATCTTAATTTTGTAACCTTAACCGAATCAAATCGATTACCTTAATTTTTTTCCTAATGTATTAACGTGAACTTGTGAAAATTTCATTCAAATTAAACCATTCAGAAAAATGTTCTGCGAAAAGTATGCATTTATTCCGTTCAGAATAAAATGTTGTTAAAATATGTTGTTTTCATATACTTAGGACTCTGAAAGTGTTGTAGAAAAAAAGAAAATACGTCAAAAGTCGTTAATCTGGACTCGTCGGGACTCGGCGATTCCGGATTATCGATTTTTCGGATTAGATCATCAGTTTAAATCTGGTAAGATGGCATGCAGAAATCACAAATTAAAAAATAAACCGTAATTTTATGAAAAACAATTATGATCTAAAGGTATCAAAATTTACAAAAAGAAAAAGCTTAATATTTATTTGTTGCTTTATTAAACATTTCTTTCAATGTAAGTTGTTTAAGTTGTCGTTTCATGTGATATACTTTCTCTTTATTCTATTAAACAGACATTTTCTTGTTAGTTGCCAAAGTTCCGCTGTTCAAGTCCTATAATTGCTGTGTCGAGATACCGACTAATTTGTCAATCAAAATGTTTTCGTTTTTAATAACTCTCTGTCACTTTCTTCATTATCGGAAGCGAATTATAATGACAGGAACTTGATTTAAATTATATCAAGATGGAGTACATCGAGAGATGAAATACTACATTTAGTAAGGAATTTAAGCCAAATAAATAACAACATCTCCCTGAAGATAAGGATAGTGCTGACAGATCAACTTCCAATTCATTGTGTGCCGCGGCTTTTCTTTTCTCCCCCCCCCTGCAGCAGAGCAGCATGAAATTGATAAACAGATTTCGGATTTCAAAACATACTTTCGCTTTGTAGATCCTTTACATACTAGTAAATATATATCGGAAATTCTATTTGACATAATTGAAAATTCAAGCTTACTTTTATAAAATTGCTCTAACAGTCTGCAAAAAATAATAAGCCGGATCCAATTCGAAGATTAAGAAACAACGCAATCTGCAACATTAACTGAATTAGATAATTTTAGCTTAGCTTATACCGTCCGTTATGCATTAAACGCGCATGTGTAAACGTATTATGCACTTGCACACACGCATATTTGCAGGCGTAATGGTCTTACGCGCACGCGTAAATGCCTATGTGCATACGTCAACGCGACGCATGCGCAGAAAGTTTGTAGCTTTGAGGTCCGGATTATAGATCATTCCGGATTATGGGTGTCCGAAGTAACAACTTTTGACTGTATATTTATTTATATGTATATTTACGACGTAATTACAAAATATTTACATCCGATCGCGTCAAAACCCATTTGATCTTAATGGTAAATGACGCAATGTTTTGGTCGCCACGTAGGGATCGCCAGTGCTTCAGAGCAGGGTACGGGAGAAACCTGTTTAGGGCTACTCCATCTTACTTCCTACCTCCATGATCTTAGGCATGGGAGCTTACCTGGCTTCTAATGTCATTACAAATTCTGTTTCTGTGACTTAAGTTATGAGATGGACTGAAATTTGTTTCTTAGTAATTTCATTATGCATATTAGTTTGAAAAAAAAAATCATAAAATCATATTGTTGATTTTATATTGTTTAAAACAGGAGTTCTCAACCGGTGGTATGTGTACCACTGGTGGTACACAAGAGAAATATAAGTGGTATGCAAAGAAGCAAAGTATTTTGAACTATTAAATTCAAAACGTAAAACCCTAACATCCTGATTGATGTTTTTTCTTTAACAATCGTAAATTTATGCGATCTGAGCTTTGTTCGTGGGGTGATGGTAGTAGTACTTTGTAGTGGTTTTACTAAAGGTTTTCAGTTTTTGTTTTGGTGGTACGTGTTAGTCAAAAGGTTCAGAACCGCTGGTTTAAAACTCCATTTCTTCTGCTAATTAATTGTCAGTTAATTTATGTTATTATTTTTCACTTAATTTGTTCATATCCATTGTGAAAATCCAAATAATAGTGAGAAAACTAAATAAAAAACTAATACTATTTCTTCAAAAAAAATTTTTCTTCAGTTATAGAAATTGGGATTCAAGATGGATGGAAAAGTATTCAGAATGCTTTTTCAATTTTCATCAAAACTTCATAGAAATATAAATTCACAGCATTTTTATACAGATGTATTTCTTGGTTGTTGCATTGATAAGGAAAGAAAGGTAAGCCGAATTGGGCAAAACAAACATCTAGTAATCCTGTTTTTGAAAACAAATACATCAGTTTTGAGACACTGTAACAAAAACTTTCCATTTCAGAGAATAAGTCTAAAAGTAACAGTAATTTATATTTTTGGTTGTACTTTACAATAAATGTGTTACGATTAAGCATACAAAGTAGCAAGTCCAGAGTGTTCTCACTAGCAGCACATCTGGCTGTTATGATTATGTGAAAAATAACACATACATAACAATAGGTATTTCAACATTCAATTTTAGAAAAATTTTAATTTTGTTTTGGAGAAAAATAAGATTACTTACTGGAATAGAGATTTAAAAAAAAAAAAAAAAAAAAAAAAAAAAAAAAAAAAAAAAAAGAGCATCAGCTTTGTAATGCTTAGATTTTAGTGTGATGTTCAAATCATCTAAATCAGGAGTTGCAAGTTGCTTTAATTTCTTTAGAATCAAGAAGTGGTCCAAAAGTCAAATAATGATACAACTATGGTTGTATGTACATTTTGTATATGAATGAAAGCAAATGTAAATTATAATAAAATATGTCTACAATATTGTAATATAAAATATGAAATGTTCAATAAAAGGTGTGCAGAAATGTTAATTTTATACGTAAGTAAATACAGTAACAGAAATCCCTCCTGAAAGACTGAATCTGTTGCCATTTTTTATTCGCTTAAAATTGAGGATTTTATGCAATTTTTTCATATTTTTTTATACATTAATAATGTCGCGATCTTGGGAGCTAATCAAATGCTCGCATTACAAAGCTGTTCGTATATCAGAATATGTCACAGGGAGCTCTTTTGCAACAGCGGTATGATATTTGACTCTATAACAGACACAGCATTGAATCCTAGGGTCATTATCATCTTCAAGGGCATGTGAATTTCATGTGCTGCTGTATTTGTGTTGATGTCAATAGATGGCGACACAAGCAAGCAACTACATACTAAGCAGTACCAGGCAAGCATACCACCACGATTGCTACAATAACAAAGGAAAATTTGAACCGATTTTTTTTTTTTTTTTTTTTTTTTTTTTTTTCCAGTTTAAAATTATTTCTATGTTGAGTATTTTGCTAATTTTTTATTATGGAGCTTCTGTTTACAAAATAGCTTGATTTTTATTCAGTACTTTTGTTTTAAAATTTTTTACTGCAAACTGTATATCAAAGTATATATCTTTTATATCATATATTGTATGTTTATGTATTAGGTGATATTGGGAATTACTACTATGGCCAGGGTCACCCAATGAAGCCACATCGCATTCGCATGACTCATAATTTAATCTTGAATTATGGCCTTTACAGAAAAATGGAAATCTATGTAAGATATGTATTTTATTATTTCATCTCTGATTTTATATGTAAAGTAAAATTTTTATAAATTTCAACTAGCTAAAATAAGTATTATAATAAAATTTAAGAATATGTGAGTACTTTAATATGTCAAATGCCATAAATACAAAAGTTTAGTTTATATGAATCAGCATGAAATTCTTAGCATATCATTTAATTGAGAAAGTTCAGAGTACTACTAGACAGTGGTTATTGCCTTTATTATGCAGGATTTCTCTGTAATAATCTTAATTAATTGTAATGTGTATTATTATAAAGAGTAAAACAGCAATACTTTTTTCTGTGTAATTAGAAATTTCGGATTAACCATAATCTCTGTTGTTTCATTTAAATCTTAAATTATTATATCAATCAGTATCTCTGTCTGTTCAGTCAGATGCAGTTGCGACAAATACTGATTATCGTGCTTATTTTAATATATGCGAATGCTTGTGTTTGCCTTTTCATATTGTTCTGTTTTATTGTAATTTTAAATAATGCCGAAGTGTAAAGTGATGGTGAAATTACACAGTACTGATGAAGGAGAAGCATATATAATTATTGTTTTGAGAGTGATAAAAATACATGGTGATTCTATGATCATGGAACAAACTTAGAGGGTTGGTTGAGCATACTAAAACATGTATTTTTTGTATAGGAATGTAGGGTCTAAAGTGACATGTTAAAGCACGAATGCAAAAAAGACATGGGAGGGAAAATTAGCTTATTTACAAAATCAACGCAAAGGGCTTCTTTGCAGTAATACAGTATTCACAAGAAATGTTCAAAATTGCGACCACCAGTAGTAATTGAAATTGTCGTAGAAGAGTTCGTTATTAGTGATGTTATAGTTCTACTTTATTTCAATTGGTTAAATAAGGTTTTGGTTTGCAAAATTTAGCATTATTATTGGTTAAAACAGTTTTTGTGTTATGTAAATGTGTGTCATGAGTGTTATATAAGAATCATGTAACAAAGATTAATTTGAAAATGATTAAGGAAGTTCAGGAAGACTTATTATAATCAACTTGGTATTTTTAGGACATAAAGAGAGGTAACCATATTGAAAGTGATACTTAAGGTATTATAAATTATAGTTAGAAGTTTTTATATATATTCTGCATCTGATTTATATATACTATATATAATGCACATTATTGTTGCATATTTAATTTTATGTATACAGTAAATAAATAATGCAAAAATAAGTCAACTAATTTTATAAATGCATAATTGAACTAAATAAAAATGTGTTAAAAAGAAATATTAATAAAATGTAAATGTATTTTATGATGCAAGGCTGTATTATACGTTGTAAAAAATACAACTTGCAAATAGTACTTGTGCAAATAAACTTAACATATGTGATGTGAAAATTTTTGGTTTTATCAAAACTTTTGCTTTTTGTTAAATTTATTAAGCTGTGGAGCTATTGGATCAAGAATTCATAGTACAACATGTGTATCTGAAATTAATCTGTGATCTTAAAAGTAATAAATATTTAATTTAATGTATTAATATAACACCTAAAGTATCTTTCAATAGTCTGCATAATTTATATATTATGGAAGGAATGCGCACTGTTTTGATATCCGATTTGTTTTTAGTATTATGTAGAATTTACTTTTTCCCATAGCATCTTTTTTTGTTGTTAAATCATTTTTGAAGCTATAGGTAGCACGTGGCATATGTTGCCTTGACCTGAAACTAAAATTAAATACCTTCTAATTGAAATTTACTGTCAACATATATGTACATGCATTTCTTTAACACAACACAGCATATTTGCTATGTTGGTGTGCTTCTTAAATATGTAATATATTCTTTGCCAGTGTTGCTTATTTTTAATTTTTTGCATTTTGTGTTAAGTTGTAGAATACTGTGGAGGTATAAAATATTTGCAAAAAGGGCTTGATGCAGAGTTCTTGAGTTTTGGAAAAAACATCATATTGGTCAATGAATCCAGAATACAGGAACCTCTTAAAAAACAAGTATTGGAACAATGAATTAGAAAAAAGTTGCTACTATCAGAAAGATTGGAAAAGCATAATGAATGTATTATCCTCAACTAAACTGGTGAAGAAGTAGAGTTCAGTTATACGTGTATGCTGGATCTAGATGTCAGTTTGGAGAATTTGGAAGAATTAGTCAATCTTGAAGAAAATGAAGTTACTGTTGAAAATTTGATTAATTATCAGCATTAAATAATTAAAAAAAGAAAGGAATAACAAGAAAATTTAAGAAGAGAAATTGTCAAAACAGTTTCCTGCAAAAGGATTATCTGAAGCATTTTATAAATTAAATCAATGACTTCAACTACTTGAAAATACTGATCAAATTGCTTACTATTTTGCCAAATCAGAAAAGCAAATTCAAGAAGCAGTTGTGTGTTGGAAAATAAATATATTAACACTTTCACTGCTGGTCATGTGAGGTTGTGTTGCTATTTAATGCTGTGTCATAGAAATAGATTGTACCATATGCCGACTTGCATATTATAAGAAATGTGGTTTAAAAGAGGTAATAAAAGATTATGTGCACCACATTGATTACTAAGCCTTTAAGCATAAAATGTTATTACTATGTAAACAGCATGTATTCGACATTAGAGGTACGAGGAGTGATCCAAAAAAAAGTTTACAAGGCAAATGAAAAGGTATTTATTAACAATAGAATCAAGAGACACATCCGGCCTTCACTTTTCCACATAGTCGCCAAACCTGTTTAGGCATTTGTCAGAATGTTCGACCAACGTAAAATTACTTCTGCTGTGCTGCATTGCACACTGGCGTGTGGCATTTAAAAGTGAATCAAAATAAGTTAACAGTATGCATTATTTTGGTATCAAACTATGTCACAAACAAATATATATATTACAAATGAATTTATTACAAGATAGTTACAATGATATATTTCAGAATGTTATTTGTGTAGGATCTTTGCACAAAATGAAACTTTGTTTCCATTCCAAATTACATACATTTACAATTAGTTTCTAACCTTCACTCCACACCAATACCATCGTATATATTCAAAATGTAGTGCTGACTGAACTTGAAAATAAACAATGAGATATTGCTTTTCCCACGCTAGTGCACAACTGGCACCTGAGACATCACCCAAAACCACACGCAAGAGTGTGATTGGCTCTTCAGCCAAAATGCCAGTCATGTGCCAGTGCATGATCAGCAGTGAATGTGTTAAGAGAAGGGGAAAAAAAGACAATGTTGATGAATTTTCTGATTAAAGAAACTATTCTTGGTTGCAGTGAATCATTCAAATGAATTACTCGCCTATAATTTTCAGTTAAGGACCTAATTTGTATGGTTTTGTGATTTAGTTTATGCTAACTAATTTAAAGGAAGAACAATTATTAATTTTATAAAATAGTATCTATGTAATGCATGTAGGTATGTATAATTTTATGCGCTACATAAATAATAAATTGCTAATAAATGTTTTATAAGTTTATACATTTTTAAACCTATTTTATGTTAAATAAAAGCCTAATTTGGTACTAAACCTATCAATAACAAAATGAGTTGCCAGCTTAGGTCAGAATCGACTTACATTGGGACAATTGGAACTGAACTTGCTGGTCGAGCACTACCTGTAACTAAAACAATTTTTTTTTTTTTTTTTTTTTTTTTACCTTAGAGTACAAAGTTGACTTTTCATTTTTTATACTTTCATAACTGTATATATCTTAATTTGATATGAAATGTTTATACGTGTGCTGTATTTTTTGTGCTGCAGTATCTTATTTTATTGTCCTAAGTCCAAGAGGGTGAACCTTCATACATCAATCTGCCAAATTTTTAAAGAAATATTTAACATGGCCATGATGTGTTAACATATATTATTAACTTGGGGACTAGTGAGGGGGGGGGAATAAATAAAATTAAATACTTCAGCATTAATACTCTACTTGCAATCGTAAACAGACATTTCTACAGCAATCATATTATTATCAATTATTTTCATTTCTGAAAATAATAGCTCGTAGGTAGATGAAATTATTGTCAAAATAGCAAACAGACTTTTTCAGACAGCTATATGTGTCTGGAATTGAATTCCATATTCTCACAATTTTAGTATTGCCATTTTTGCTTATATTGCCTAGTAGTCTTTCTAATTCTATTCCAACTCTTCCAATAAGTTTTTGAACCCATACTGCCCTAGACTGAAAATCAATTAGCTTTGCATTTCAGTTTCCAACCAGTCATACTTAAACAAGCTGAGTTTATCAAATGGATTCACATGAGGGTACCTAATAAATTTGAGTGTTCCCGATAAACTCTGTAAACTGCGAAAACCTTGATGAAAGTCGATTATCTTGTAAATCCAAATTGCTAGTAAATTTTTTCAAGTTTGAGAAATTTGTTTTTGGAAACAAGATCTTTACTGAAAACGTGAAGTTTAGCCTCAGAATCACGAATGAGATCACCATATCAGAAGCAACATCAATTGTTATCGAAACAATCTTATTTCTTTCTCAGCAAGTGAATTTATAGCAGCCATACAAATATCTGTATGCTTAGTAAGTGTTTGGTTTTGTCAAAATAGCCATGCTTAATAATGCTTAGCTGTAAATATAATTCACACAAATGTAAGCATGGAGTTCTGTTAATGAAATTAGTTAAAAAATGATCAAGACTGTGATTCTGGCTGTCGTAAGCACGCACCAAACAAGTGAATGACTAGTTGCCCTTTCAGATGAAAGGACAGGGCTAGCAGGATCGCTACCTGCAAGAGAAATGGTTTTGAAGGTGTCCTGGTGTCAGCTGACTTTGCTGATAGTAAGTACCTAAATTCCTCAAAACATATAGCGCCCCAAATTTTTTCCCGCGTGCCATTAGTTTGCCAACATCCAAACTTGTCGGGACTTCAATGATTCCAGGTATTAAATCATCAGTTTAAATCTAGTAAAATGGCATGTAGAAAGTATAAAATTAAAATCTGGAATTGTAATTCATGAAATAATGAAGCATTTATGATCTAAAGGGTATCAAAATCTACAAAAAAAAAAAAAAAAAAAAAAAAAAAAAAGTTTAATATTTATTTACTTTATTAAAAATTTCTTTCAATGTAAATTGTTTAAATTGCTTCATTTTTTTGTGCTAATACTTTCTAGTTTTGTAGACAGACATAATTTCTTGTTTAGTTACATTGTTGAAGTCTTGTAATTGCTGTGTTGAGAATTCCAATTGACTTGTCAATCGAAATTTGTTCGTTTTTAATAACCTCTCTGTTTTTTCCCTCACTATTGGTAGCCGTATTTTCTGGATCTAGAATCATACTACAGATTTCGCCCTCGATTAATTGATTGATGATTGAGGAGCATTGTCATTACAATGAAAAACTTCTTTTATATCGACTGCTTCTCCACATTTCTTTACAGAATCTGTTAATTAGAAAATCTCATCTTTGGTTTGCAATATATGAAAACCTTTAAAATTAACAACTATCATCATAAAATTTAGCTGTTGTTCTCTGTACATACTTGGCTATGTATCATGAGATTGGCAACTAAGGACAAGTTGTTCCGCTAAATTTTATCTTGCTTCTATCATATAATGAGACAATTAAGCCTGTATTGTATTAGTTTAGTTATTTATTATGCTTATGTCTATTTCTTGCACATGCTTACATGAGTCCTGAATAAATAAATTCCCACATGTACTTAAGGCTTATTGAGGGCCAGCGTTAGATATCTTATGCAGTCTCCGTGAGTCTTAAATTATGCTACCAAGCGCCTCTCCTTATCTTCCCTAAATTCTGCCACCCGGTCTGGACATACAAGCCCTAGCGCTGATTCTGGCTTTATATGAGTAACAAATTGGTTATTCTTAATTCAAACAGCACTAAATTTAATCTTTTGGCCTATGAGTATCATTAACAAAATCTATTTTTTTGTATATGGAAAGAAATTTTTATTAAATTTTTCCTCGTCAGCATTTCTCAGTACATTGAACTTAAATCTCTAATTATCGCTAAGCATAATGTCAACATAAAAGATTACCATATTCTTTATTATTCAATTACTAACATAAAAAAAAATATTTAGGCATTGCTACATGAGTCATTATTCAAGTTGTCTTGTGTTGATAAACATGCAGTAATGAAAGCAAAATATGATAAATAAATGATTCGCCAGTTTTGCATCAGGAATATAAAATATTAGTAGGTGTAAAATCAGCGATGTGTCTATGTAGAATGTTTTGGTTTGAAATGTATGCCAAGCAGATATACATCTACGGAGCCAAATTATTGATCATACAAATTTATGCTAAAATGATTTTTCTTCAGTAATGAGATATTTTATTTAGTGCTGAAGTGAAATTAAGAATCGAACTCTCCACATGTTTTATTATGTGCAGGGGAGATTAAATGCGCATGCGTAAAGCATTAAAAAAAAAAAAAAAAAGTAGTTGGCTTTGAACTCCAGATTTTATATCATTCTGGGTATTGGATATCCAAATCTCGGACTTTGTGCTGTATAAATGTTTCATGCCAATTCAAATATCAGTAGTTGGCAAAATTCAAAAAAATTTAAAAAATTCGTAATTATCCTTCAAAATAAATTTTCTGATGTTATTTAAGATTTTTCATGCTTAATAATTTTAACGATTTCAAAATAAGAGTGCATTTTATTGAATAAGTGATTTTATTGATATTATGTTTTTAATTGTAGAGACCACATAAAGCCACTCAAGAAGAAATGACTAAATATCATAGTGATGATTATGTTCGGTTTCTGCGAAGTATTCGGCCTGATAACATGTCGGAATATAACAAACAAATGCAGAGATGTAAGTGGTATTAACATATTCGTATTTCATTTTTTTTAATTACAGTGTTTTACATTATGATTGTTTTCAGTGTCATGTAACTTTTGTTATATTACATATATTTATGTGTTGAAATTTAAATTCCTTTAGAATGCAAGAAGTAAAATAAAAAGGTAAATGAAATAATATTAGCTAAGATTTCTGAATTAATGGAAATGCAGTGTATAAAATTAAAAATGAAAAGTTCTGTTATGAGCTTAGATATTTTTAATTTAATTTTTGCAAAAATATAGCTTCAGTTTTTAAAAATCGTTTATAACATACTTTCCTTTCTATTAAAATATTTTAGCTAGAAATTGCTATTTACTTGTGCTTTAGAATTATTATCCTAATGCCAGTGGTGTTAAATAGGATGTTATGAGTGCGAAGTGCCCTCATCAATAAGGTGAAAAAAGCAAAGTTTATGCCATCATCTGGTGACTCAGATGTGGTTACTCTCCCTTTCTTGATAATTCTGTTAAAATTTTCTTCTCTGATGCAAAGCTGAATGAACTAATTCAGGAATAGTTCTGTTGGTCTTATTGTGGTGGTTAGCATTTCTACAGGTGACTTTGCTATCTCTGGGTCTTTTTAAAGGGAAAATATTTCTTTTATCATGCTTACCCAGTTTATATCAGTTAAGCTCTCTTCATTTGATTTTTCTGCATTTTTTTGTGGACTTTCTTTTTTGGGTGAAAGTGGTGACTTCTGAATTTTTTGATAGTTCCGGAAAGTTTTCTTTGCTCTTCAGTATTTGATTTACTGTTTTTTACTCAGTGTTTTCTTAGAGCTTTTAGAAAATTCTGTTTATATTCTCAGCAACTACAATAGCTGCTGACATGAGGTCTGCTACAGAAAATACAAACAGGGATTTCTTCTTTTGGCTTAGAGCATTCAGTACTTTGGTGGTTTTACTGCAAATCTCACAGCTAGTGATATTGAAGTACAGTTTATAAGTGTGGCCCTGGCATTTATAGCATTGGGTCAGCTCCATCTTCTTAGACTAGTATTCTTCGGTATGTACATTAATACACATGTTGTTCACCTTAAAATTTGATAGACCAACTTTGTTTTACTCTAGTTCAAGAAAATATGTGGGAAGTTTCTCAATACTGTTTACAGTTGTTCTCGTAAATTGCTTTACTTTTAAGAATTGGAAAATTTCATGTTGCTAAATTATATTGTTATTAATTTTTTCTTTATGGGTTGTTTAGGGGATATTTTTCAGAATTGCTTTAACAGTCCTTTCACTCTTCCTCCGGTATGTGTGAAAAGTTAAATTCACCATTCTTAGCTTTTTCCTAAATTCAGATTCCAGGGTTTGTACGGTCCTTAAGAGTCCTTAAAAGTCCTTAGATTTTTTTGAATCAATTTTTGGTCCTTAAAAGTCCTTAATTTTGGCCAAAATCAACAGAAGGTCCTTAATTTTAATCATCTGAAATTTCTGTTTGTTTTTACGACGGTCATTTTGAGTGTGAATTAGCATTTTGAAGAATATTTTTGGCGATTCACTGCCGTATATATGGTAATCTTTTGAATGGATTTATGAGTTATAATTTGTTTCTATTTCTAATATAAATGATGGGATACTCATAAATGTTTCATAAATGTTCATAATGTTCATAAATGTTCATAAATGTTCATAAGCAAGAAGTGAAACATAAGCATTTCGAAATTCATTTTTTTTTTCTAGTAAAGAGCTCTTAAACAACTTTTTGTTTTGGAGAATGTGAATTCTTTTATTAAACGGTTCTAAATTTGGCGACTTTTCAAAATTTTGGCGATTTTAAGATTAGTTTCTATAGAAACTTTTTAATTCCAAAATCTGAGAATTTTTCAACGATTTTTTTTAAAACATCGTAACATTGATAAATTTTATTAAAATAATGGTAATATATTGAAGTTATATTTAAAAAATAACATTAAAATAAAACATTTCTATTTTTCGCTGTCATATTATAAAGTTTCATTTTGGCAACTTATAAATATTTTGAATCTGAAAAATAAACGAGGTATAAGGCTATAAAGCACAAGTTATGAAACAGTTCTTAGCAAAAGCAAAATAGCTATGTAATTAATTAAAAATATCTTCTTTTTAATTTTTTTATGGTAAGAGTTTTTCCCGTGATATATCTAAGAATATTCAGAATTCTCAGAATATGCATCAGTTTTCTCTATAAAATTACTTTTACACTTTTCCGCTCCGATTTTTTTCCCAAAATATTTCTAGCATTTTGTTGTTAAAGAATTCGTAGGAGTAATTTTTCTTTAGGATTTTAGACACTGTAGCTTGGAAAGTTTAGGAGCATTTGAAGGTAAGATTTATAGACCCACGATTCTAGAAGATTCGAGAAATATATGACAAAATAAAAAATGAATGTATCGAATGGTATCGACACGTAGTGGATGTGTATTGTACAGAAAGTTTGCAATTAAATTATTAATTTTGGGAGAACATCTGGAGGAACAATGAAAACATAATATTTGAATGTATTACTTCTGATACTAGAATCTTAATATATTTATCTTCTCTTTATTTTCTACTTTTCACTAGACAGAAGCATGGAAAATATCAAAAATGCATCTGATCTTATCACCATTTTCCCACCTGATGCAATCTCTGTTGATCCTAAATTCAGCTGCCTAGTGCTTATCTAAATTCTGCTTTCAATGCCTGCTCTAAATTCTAAAAGTTTTGCCATTTCTAGATTTTGTTGTTCTGTGTGTCACTAAATTCTAAAAATTCTGCCATACCTGATCTGTAACCGGCTTTTACTATATATATTTCATATTTCTTCTGAAATTTCTTTGAAAATATCAGAGATATGGTGCTGATTTCTTTTCTGTTCTGCTCTTTTTAGCCCCAAATAGCCATTAACCCAGAAAGGCTGTTAGTCTCAAAACGGCATTTTGCATCTAATCACTATAAACAGCTGTACCACTGTTCAAGTTGTTGCCACCAAATATTATTGCCCTCTGTTATACTTAAAGAAACTAAATAATGAATAACCTACATAAATCTATGTATATTTCTCGCAATGTGTAAAAACAACAGATTTCCTACCCAAACATGGACACCTGGCAGCTCGAATTTATTGTCTATTTCATATTTTGTAAAACTTTAATGAATTTTTTTTTAAGAAACTCAACAATTTCAAAACGGGCAGTGACAACATTTTAGGGAATAAAATATTTTTATTTCCAGCATGTAAGACTGTCTATCAGAAATTCTAAAGATATGCTGTTTTTAAATATTTTAGTCCAGCGTGACGTTGCCCAAATGCTCTCTAAATGTGTATGTGTCTGTAAATGAAAGAAACACCCGTTTGAGCGTAATATGAAATCTGAAATCTTTCAGATATTTTTTTTAGAGTTTGTAAATTTGTATTTCCATTTTGGGTACTTACATCTTATGCCATCAACCATGAAAGCCTGTGTAGGTCCCACCAAAGTTGTGCAAGTTGTTCTTGTAGAATTCTGATCTCACTACTTATCCGCAATTCTTAAGTAAAACATTCGTAGGTCTCTCTGCACAATCCACTAAATAGTCGTCGCTGCAAAAGTATTTGACATGTGTCATTTTTTTTTCTTTGCAAAAAAGCTGTATGTGATTTTCTAAGGCTCTCCGATTTTACTGTAAGGTTTGTTTAGAGCACTATAAGTACAAACTTCCTACAGGTGATCGTTATCGTCTATTGTTGGCAATATCTGACTGTGCTTTTCCCATTTGCCTGTAAGGTTTCCATTCTTGCTGTTTGTTCCTCCAAGGAAATGACTGTTCATTGTGGAAAGGAAATCTGCAGTTAATCAAATCAACCTGGGAAAATTTTATCAGCTGATTTTGAGTCGTAATATTTTTGGTAATGAAAAGGCTGATTTCTCTGTTAGCAAGAGCTGTAAGCTCTACAGCTACTTCTTCCTGTCTTTTATTTATGAATTATAAACTATTTATCAACTGTGAAATATTATTGCATTTCAACAAATCATCAAAATCCTATTTTATTTATTATGTATATAACCAAAATTTTGTATCTAAATCTTTATTTGTATTATACATTATGCATTCTATATTCTACGTACGTACCATCAAAATTTCTGTTAATATTTATATGAATTCTGTCAATGTATGTCAAGTTCAAAATTATGTATATATCAAAATCAAAATTTTTATTGTAATATAAAATTTTAAATAAACGTGGTCCCACAGAGTGAGCAATAAAGCTGAAAGTCTTCATGGCGGCACAGCTGCTCACCCAGTGGTCTCCTGTCTTTTTATTACAGGGTTGTTCTATGATTAAGGATAATATGCATTAAACACTGATAATGATCAGAGAAAAACCCTGAAATGCAGAAAGAACATTAAAGAAATTGAGACCCTTTATTGTTTGCCCCTTCGTTAAACGATATGCAGAGCCATATTTTCCCAAGAAATGCCATTTTGTGTGCACCACATAATTTTTTTCAGGGATGTGTATATTATCAGTGTAGATGCTTTTTCTTAACTTTCCCTTATGTAATTCTGAAAAGACTGGATTTTAACTGTTTTAAGTTGTGCCATGGAACCAACCATCATTTTAGTATTGACAATTGTTACATACGGAGAGATACTCTGATTCCTTTTTCATTGTAAGATCCTTTATCAAAGAGCAAAGTGTATGTGCACTATTTTTTTTTTTTTTAAATAAAGTTTCGTTTTTATATGTATAATAGTGACTATATAGTCTTTCTTTTTCATCATAAAAATGCTATTTTAAATAAAGTACTAAATTGTGTAACTGCATAGAAAGGTGAATATATAAGTGATCGATGTAGCTAAAATAGATTTACCATACTCTCATCAGGCTGCAATAGGTGTCAATTGTATTTCTGTGTCAATATAATTTAATGATAAATCAGTCATTTGTATTTATTTATTCTTTTTCTTTTAAAAGCCTATAAAATATAACTTTCAGTTGGGGAAGCATTTATAAAATCTAAATATGTTAAAAAGTTCAAAATAAACTAAAACTGCTCATTAAGTTTTATTTCTTAAATGACGTGAAATTATTCATATTTAAAATAAAAGTTAATTAAATTTCACTTAATTTTCATGTGTATGAAATGTTGTAATAGAAAACCACACGTTTTTAAACTTAATTCTCTAAGCTAGTTTTATTCCTAAAATTTATAATTTGAAAGGCTTTCTTTTAGTAGTTCTTTTGTTTTTCCTCCCTCTAGTTAATGTTGGTGAGGATTGTCCTGTGTTTGATGGATTGTATGAATTTTGCCAGCTATCTACTGGTGGATCAGTTGGTAAGTTTCTTTTGTATTATGTTATGAAAATGAGAAAATTCTTTTAATTTCTCCAGTATTAAAATATGGCCAAAAAGTTCATGTATTTTTCAAACAAAAATAAAATACCCATTTTTCATTTTTATGAATAACTTTATTGAGCAACATATTCATATTTTGTTCTACTATATTTTCCCATCTTTAATTACTTTCATAATTTCATTCCCCCAGAACATTTTATTTTTTTGAATAGAAACTGTTTTTAGAAAATTTTACCTGGTGCCATGCACAATATACTAAGAAACTGAATTTTTTCTCAATAAAAATATTTTGTGAAGCGTGAAATGAATTGTTGCCCTCCCCCAGTCACCTAAGAAACATTCAGTTTTATGTTATCCTGATAGAAGGTTTTTTTTTTTTTTTTTTTTTTTTTTTTTTTTTTTAACAAGTTGTGTGTGCTTTTGTCATTGACTAATTCTGAATTCAGTTCCTGCTTTTAGAAGTCTTATGAAGTAATACTTGGAGTTAATTTTTTAATTTTTGGAAAGGAACTAATAACAGAAGAATCCCATTGAGTACCATGCACCTATACACATCACCGTTTTGGAATAAAACTGGTCTTTTTGATTTGTTTGGTGGTGTTTGACCTCACTTGCCTGTACCACTAGAGGCTGAGTGGTCAAGACCTTTGAATACTGATAGTTTCACCTGGTTTGTATTTAATTCCAGGTGAATTGGCTGGCTGCATGGGTTTTTTTTTTTTTTTGTTTTTTGTTTTGTTTTGTTTTCCTGGTGTATAATGTGAATATGAGCAAAATTCCCTCAGTAAGTCCTTCATAAAGGTACCCCTCCGCTTGGGCAAATATCGGTGTCTTTACTGTATTCCAGTAACTGAATAGAACCATCTCACTTGTCCCATAATTTCTCCCATTCTACATCAAAGTAAATATCCACTGTTCATCATCCATCCAAATTTATTTTAAAAATAATATATTATCATTACGTTAAAATAGAAAAATTGCATAGAAATATATGTAAAGTCATTTTCTTCCTCCCCCTTTTTGTTTAATTTATGTGGAACTCATACATCAAAGCAATTAACATAATTTTGCTATTAGGCTGATATTCAATAATTATTCTTAATTAATGTCTGGATTTGATTGCTATCAATTTCAGCTGGTTTACCATCTGTCATGAAGCATTGTCTTACTAGAAATCTTCAGCTTTAAATTTTACAAACCGCTTTCTATCAGTCATGGCACTGCATATATCTTTCCACTCTCCCTCATTTCAATTATTATTTTTCTCCCTTTCTAGAAATAATACAGTATGATGTATAAAAAAAAAAAAAAAATCAGTGTAAAGATGGATGCACAAAAATCAATTTTTATTTGGTTTATTATTATTTAATTTCCATTGATTTGATATCTGTCACATAGCAAATTAAGAAAATTGCTTTGAATGAAAAAGCCGTTGTGGGAAATAAATAGAGAAAAAAGGATTTTGGTCAATCCTGTAGTTTTATCAGCTGTTGTGTATTTACAGTGCAAAGTCTGAGATCCTGAATTGTCAGGATTTCAATAATTCCTGATATCAGAAATTTCCGTGTTTTAGATTAGCTTAAATGTGAAAAGATGGCTTAATTTTTTTTAATCAAAAATAGAAAATTGTAATTTATAAAATAATAAGGCATATATGACCTTAAAGGGGAAAAAATTCAATATTTATTTTTTAGTAATTATTGTTATTATTATTATTATTATTATTATTATTATTATTATTATTATTATTATTATTTTTTGTGGTGTGTGTGTGTGCTAATCCTTTAATTTTATAGATAGTCATTATTTCTTGTTAAGTTAAAAAGTTCCATTCTTCCAAGGTGGTTTGTCTGGTCCTTAAAAGTCCTTAGGTTTTTCAGGAAAAAAATTTTGCTCCTTAACTTTCTAAAGCCAGCGGTACAACTGTTGTATCGCGAAATTTACTTGCTTTTAAGCCGGCTGTGGTACAACTGTTGTACCAGCCTTTCTGTCTCCTTTTTAGAGTAACTGTTTGTCTTAAGAATCTCTAGGTGGTCCAGTTTCCTGTTCATAGCAGCCCCTGGCTATGCATTGTATTCCGTTTCTTATCTGGTTGGCTACGTTTTGGCGAAGACGTCTCGCACCAATGTGCTTGAAAATAAAACAGATGCTATCTCTTTCAAACATTAGAGCTTTTTCTCGTGATTTCAGTGTAACTTTTTTCCTCGCGCTGTTATTCAGTTCTTTTTCAAAGGTCTCAGTCAGGACGAAATTAATAAGTTGCTAAGAGATTTAGATGGGAAACTTTTGTTTACACAGATTCGCACTGTTCAGATATTGAAGAAATATGTTTTAATCAATCTTTTAATGAAGATAAAGTTGCCGATGACTTCAAAGCAACGCTAATAATTTATTTGAATGGAGACAACCAAATGAGCACAACGAAGCTAACATATTGACCTTTATTGGTAATTCTGGTATAAAGACTGAATTTTCAGAAACTCATCTTGCTGTTCATTTTTTAAATTTTTCAGATTAATTGTTTAAATTTTAACCAGAGAAACTAATCGATATTCTTCTCAAATCTTAGAGTTGTGGCCAAATATAAGCGGAAAAAGAAATCTTGAAAGCGACTGGACGCCAGTTACATCTAATGAGCTTCAGAAATTTTTTGGATTAGTATTACTCATGGGACAAATTGATAAAGACAGCATTTGAGATTACTGGTCCATGGATAATTTAATTGACACATCAATTTTTCACATGATGTTTTACATATAAGAGGATACTTTATGAAAAATTTGTTATAAACAATTTTCTTAATTTTGTTTTGAAAATATTCCTGGCTAATTGTTTTGATCACTGAAAGAAATATAAAAAACATATTTAAAAGTACGAAAGATTAATCTTTTTAAAATAAATTAGAAAATTTATTATGTAGAATATATGTATATGCATTTCATTTAAAATCAAGGAAAAATCAAACTTATAACAATGATTTTGAACGAAATCAGCCTATGAAACAAAATTTACATAGAATTCTTTATAAACATTTAAAACTGTCCTGAAAAATATTTTTGGTGAATTTATATTTTCTAAAATTTTAAATCATAGATTAAAATTCTCTTCAGCAAATATTAAAAAGAAACCTCAAAGCTCTCTCTATGGGCACCACGAAACTGCAAAGATTTAAGAAATTACCTTATCAGACTTCACACTGCAGGTATAAAATGAATTAATTGTATGGGTATTTGGAGAATTTTTTGCCTGCTAACTTAAGCAATACCCAATTTTATAAAGAAAATTCTCTCTACAGATAAACCTTCTTTGTCCCGATAGTGCAAAGTAATATTTGTTAAAGTTAAATAATCAAACAACTAATATATCTCTGATTTTCTTTTTAATATTACAATAACAAAATTAAGAAAAAAGAAACAGATTTATTGTTTTTAAGTTTATTTCAAAATCTAACAGTAATGTATCATATTCTAATCCTCTAATAGTCATCAATATTATTATGAATTCCTTATTATTATTTCATTAAATTATTCATTACTATTATTTTATTAATGAAAATAGATTATCAAATATTGCATTCTGACCTACAGGCACATAAAGCTACTTCATACAGTACAAAGTCTTTAATAAGGACGTCCAGTTAATATTGCAGATTGCTTTGTTCCTTAATCTTCTAATTGGATCTCGCTTATTATTTTTTGCAGACTAATAAAACAATTTTATAAAAAGTAAGCTTGAACTTTCGATTATGTCAAAAAGAGTTTATGATTCTGGAGCTGCCAAAGGATCTACAAAGTGAAAGCATGTTTCGATGTCCATCAAGCAAAAAGTGTAATTGCTGCAAAAAAATGGATAAAGGCATGAAGAAAGTGACAGAGAGGTTAGTGAAAACGAAAAAATTTCGATTGACAAGTTAGTCGGTATTCTCGACACAGCAATTATAGGACTTGAACAGCGGAACTCTGTAACTGAACAAAAAATTATGTCTGTTTATAGAATTAAAGAGAAAGTATTAGCACATAAAACGAAGCAACTTAAACAACTTACATTGAAAGAAATGTTTAATAAAGTAAACAAATAAATATTAAGGTGTTTTTTTTGGGGGGGGGTAAATTTTGATACTCTTTAGATCATAATTGCTCTTTATTTCATAAATTATGGTTTCATATTTTTAATTTTATAATTTCTGCATGCCATCTTACCAGATTTAAATTGATGATCTATAATCCAGAAAAACCCCTAATCCAAAATCGCTGAAGTTCCAACAAGTCCGGATTAAAGACTTTGTACTGTATTTGTTATATTTTGCCAAGTTCTGTTCTTGTTTCCTAATTTCTAGTAGAAATAAAGACACAAAACTCACAAATTATTACCGAGATTGATCAGAAATAGTAAATGTTATAGAGTTTAAATTAAATCAAAATAAACCTTGAAAAAGTCTCAAATATAGTAACCTATTCTAGATTATTATCTAGAGTCTGACAAACATGTAAATTTTACTTCATTCCTTTTGAAAGGAGTGTGATAAGCAAACCAGAAAACCATCTGAGAATTGCAGTGAAAAAGTAATTAACCAGGATATAACTTAATGGAAAGCCTCAAACTGAAATTCAGTCTGAACTTTATATAATTTAAAATTGTTATGTAGTTAATTTATGTATATAACTTGTAAATAGTGTAAATGTTTGTTTCTTTTATCTTTACCTTATTTATTTGTTTTGTTACCTATTGTTTGTACTGAATTTTTCTTCTGACCAAGGATTTTACTCTCCGGGAAGTGCAGGCCGAGTCCTTGGAAAGCAGCTGTTTTGCTAAAGCAGGGTTAGTGTTGCCAGAAAGTGGCAGAGAAAGGCAAGGTTTCCAAATTTTGCATGAAATTGCCTATTTGGCAACATGCCATAGAGAGAGCAAGAATATTCTAGAATGCATTTTAGCGGTTTTCCTCAGGAATGTTTATCGTAGAGCATCTTGAGTTCAGATATTAGCTTGAGAGAGATCAACGAGTCGGGAGCTGAACTTTAATGTTTTGCCATGAAACTGTCTTCACTGTTGTAGCCTGAAAAGAATTTTCAATTAATAAAGAAATTAAAAACCTGATAATTTATAAGAGTCATTTTATACGTCTCAGGCACTATGCAGAGGGCCAGCATAAAGCATTTAGCCACTTGGTGCAATCTCTGTGCATCCTAAATTCTACTGCCTGGTGCTTCAATAATTTGTAAAATTTTTGTCTAAATCTGCTGCTCTATGCCTATCCTAATTGCTGATTGTTTCAGCATGGTTATCATAATTTTTTGATGACTGTAAATGTGTCTTTGGAACTCTCATGTGTAATACTGGCAAATAAATTGTGTTTTGATTCTTCGTCAAGTGTTGTCATCAATTACTCCAATTTCATTTCCTACGGATCCAATCCACAAACCCGTAGAATGCATCAAGATGTTTTATGGGAAGTTTGTGGCAAATTTCTTATTTTTCGGAGCATTTTTATAAAAACAATGTAACATAATTATTTGAATTTATTTTTGATCTTAGAAGTCTTTCTCTTAGCATGTTTATTTTCTCTTTTTTTCACTGAACACAAACTTGGAAAATTGCAAAAATGGTTCTAATGTAGTCACATGAACAGGCATCGGTAGGAAGGAATTTTTCTAATTAATCTGTAGAAAAAGAAACTCAAAATTTAAAAAAATTATCTCATATGTCTCAGTGCACCATACACAGGGTTGATGCTAAGCTTTTGCTATTTGCTTTATTTCCGTGTGTCTAAAACTTGCTGCCCAAAGCTTCTCTAAATTCTAAAATTTTTGTTTTCTCTAAACCCTGCTGCCCAGTGCCTGTCTTAAATTTTAAAAATTTTTGCCATCCCAAGATGGTCGTGCTAAGCTTTGGTGCTTAGCGCATAATCAGCAACTTTCACAGAAAATTTGTGATGAATTTATGTATTGGAGAATTTTAGGAAGAGCAGTAAAAAAATATTTGAATTTTCTACTTTTGATCCACTAAGTCTTCTCTTTACTTACATTTCTTTTCAATAGACACAAACGTGGAAAATTGCAGAAATGGTTCTGATCTTGTCACATGGATAGGCATCTGTAGGAAAAAAGAATTTTCAATTAATAAAGAAATTAAAAAACTGATAATTTGTAAGATTCATCTTGTACATCTCAGGCACTATGCAGAGGCATAAAGCATTTTGCAATCTCTGTGCATCCTACATTCTAATGCCTGGTACAATCTCTGTGCATCCTAAATTCTAATGCCTGGTGCTTCAATAATTTGTAAAATTTTTGTCTAAATCTGCTGCTCTATCTCTATACTAAATTCTAAAAATTTTTAAACTTTGTTGCTAGGTCCTTCACTAAATCTTAAAAATTCTACTACATTGCCCCGACCATATATCATTTCATATTGATTCTCAATGTATATATTACTAAGGAAATAAAATCAGCAGCTTCTTCTAAGAAGGACATTTATGTAAATTAGCTAAAATGTCTAGAAAATTTTGAAATTAAAAAGACGCATCAATATTTTGGTTTGTATTGTTGCTATAAACCATACATGTTTTCTAGCTTTTAATTTATAATTGTTCTAATATTGTTTTAGAATTAAAGTCATAAACTATATGTGTAATTGTGTGTTATTTTAAATTGTATAATGAGATTTTAATAGTGCTTTTAACAGATATAAAAAAATAGTGACCATGTAACACTAGTGACATGTTAATGGTATCTAACTTCATAATTTAATTATTTGTAACCACATGCTTACCCTTAAAGATTATCTTTGCATGTTAAGGCATATTATTTCTTTTCATTAATCCTTACCTTAGATGCAAGATAATAATACTAAAATGTAAAACTTTATTCTTTATGGCTAGTGAGACTTAAATACAAAACAACATTTCACCTCTGGTGCTTCAGCAGCTTATCGAAATGTTGCAGTACATTAACTGGGGTTACAACTGCAGCTAATCTCTGTGAAACTACAGCAGTAACAAAGTCAGACAGACAAAGTATAACTAACTTACCAACCACATCAATGTCGGGCATTCTGGTCTGTCCTGATCAGCAGGTGTTTCTCTCTCTAGGCAAGCAGCAGTGGTGACAGCAGCTGAGCTTCTTTTATTAATCATGCTGATTATGGTTTTACTTCTAATTTTAACCTATGCTGTTTGACATAAAAATCTGCCTTCTGTTTGCTAAACCTCTGGACTGAGTACATGACACAACTTGTTAAATATATGCCCTCTTTTTTTTTTTTTTTTTTCCTTAAATTTGTTTCTTAATCATTTTGATTTGTGATATTGGACCCTTCGATGGCATGCTCTCACTGTGGCATTGTCTCTCCCATTCAATTACCCCTTTTTTTTATAATAATTATGTTTAGCATAATGGAAGATTATTCTATAATTCATTATAAGTAAGATGTCAGAACCTACAAAACCTCTGACAAAATATGTTTTATTCCCACCCTTTTTTGCCATGTACTGTTGACTTTTCAATGCCATATTCCTCCCATAAGTTTAAGACAAGTGTGCCTTTTTTTTTTTTTTTTTTTTTTTTTTTGTGCAGATATAGCTCCACAATTACAAGATGTTTTCAACACAATAAAAAATTCAAACTTCAGTTTAATAAGATAGCTGTAACAACAGTAGCTTGTAAAAAAAAATAATAATAATTACCTGGATCAAATTAGAAAGTCAATATGCTATGTTTATTGAACTTAAAATCCTGCAGAATCTTTCTCTCTTCTGTGCTGCTATGCCAAAAGAAGTAAATCATCCCACTCCAAACAACAACCACTTTCACTCTACCACAAATTTCTTCAACCACAAATTAGCAGTATCCTACTCTAAACAAATGTCATAGAACATCACTTTATCGGTAAAATGCTAACCTCTTTGTAACCACTCAAGGACTGAAAGTAAGGTCATGGTCAACCTCAATGTAATGTAATTGTCATTGGCCACCTTAGCCATTTCCTAGCCAGCAGGTATTTCAGAGTGACATACAGGAATGTCACTAAGTTGGGGGCAAAAATCCCTTTTTCGAATCACCTGCTTTTTCTTGAATGTTGTATTCTCCGTTCCTAAGCTTTGTATATGAAAAGCTTTTATTTTGAATATATAATAATAATGCTAGTGGTCTAGAGGTTGTATGGATTTCAGACTTGGTATTTTATATATTTAAAATGTAAGTTTTAATTCACTGCAAGCCTAGACAGAATATAGAAGTTAATTAGGAAAATTTTTTATAGTGTGTATTGAATTTTTTTCCTTCCATGTTTTAGCTGGTGCAGTGAAGTTAAATAAACAAGCAGCAGAAATTGCTGTTAACTGGGCTGGTGGACTTCATCATGCAAAAAAATCAGAAGCATCAGGATTTTGCTATGTGAATGACATTGTGTTAGCAATCCTAGAACTTCTTAAGTGAGTCTTTAACAATAACAAAATTATGATATTTGTAAACTCGCTCGAAGGTGTATTTGATATATATGTGTGTGTATACAAGCAAAAATTTAGAAATATCAAATTAAGATAATAAATTTTTAAAGTTGCACGGTATGCTACGAAATTAATTAAATAATTAAGAAATAATAATTAAACTATAAATTAATTTATGAAAGGGGGTTAACAGTCTGACAAGAAATACAAACATCAAAATCGAAACAAAAACAATAAAATTAATTTAAAAAATATAAACTTGTTAAAAATTCCTTGTCTTTTTCCAGGAGTAGCCCAAAATTTTTTTAACAGAGCCATGTTTTTTAATTATATTTAGATGATTGCAAATTTTTAAAGTATTTTAGAGTAATAAATTAAAAGAAAGTGCCAATTAAGATAATTAAATTATCAGTTAAGGTATTTAAAAGTGCAACGAATTAAAATTTTTTTAACTTAATCATAAGATATAATTTGCTCCAACGTGGCTCTAGAACTAAAATTACTATAAAAATAAATATAAAAAGACTTCTTGAATTAAAAAACCTGAAGAATGATGGCGGTTTAAAAGCAGTGTGCTATGTAATATTAAATAAATTTTGAACCAAAGCAAGAACAGATTTGCTTAGAAACTTTTTAAATCAAAAATAACATTGTGAACATAAGTAAAATATTTCAAGTCAAAAGTTTTGTGGAAACGAGTTTATTAAGGAGAAATTTTTTAAAATTAAAATAAATAAAAATTTAAATAATAATTAATGCAGAAAAGTTTCCAACTTGAGAAAAAAACATAAAACAATAAAAATGGAGTTCTTAAACACTTAAATGGGAAAAAGAATAATAAATAATTCAAATGTAAATTTTAAAAAAAGGCAATATGTCTAAAATTTATGAAATTTAAAATAAAATAATCAGTGAACTCAAATACCAAAATAAAACCTGAATGAAATCCACATGGTAATTCTCCATGTAATTTTCAAGAAAGCTGTTTAAAGAGTCGAATTGAGTGGTAAGAAGAAAGTCGGTTAATTAGAAATAATAAATAGCAAAAACTGATGTTGTTGTTTGACTTCTGAATTAGCAAAAACTGAGTTCAGGTGTAAAGAGGCAGCTTGAAAGCATTGAAGCTAGGCACTGAAAAATGAAAATGCGGAGATTGTAACTTTAAATGTAAGACTGTACATTTGAAATTTAATAGGAATTCATTTCATATTATTAAATTTTAGAAACTTAATTAAAGGTAGTTTTTAAAAAAATTGATTTTTGAGGTAAATTAGACCCTAAAAAATATGAAATTAACTTTTTCAAAAATTGATGGGTAAATTGTGGAAAGAAATAAAAATTTTTTAATTAATAAAAGTAAATTAATTGTGCATGATAAAGTTTAAAGTTTTTACATCTAAAAAGGATTTTTAAGAAGTGTAATTTGTTGGTACTGAGGAGTAGGAAAAGTTGTGAAAAGAAAGAAGGTGAATTAGGACCTTTAATGACTTTCATGATCTAATTTTTGATTTAATTATTATCTCTTGATTTTATATATATATATATATATCATAGATGACGCTTCTTAGTTTTGGTATTGCCATTCTAACATTAGTTGAATACATTTTTATATTTAATGTCTTCATTACATTGTTTCTAAAATTTTTTATTCCTTTAATAATTACAATTACATAAAAACGTACAAGAATTTTTTATTCTTAGTTCCTATTTTAGATTACAAGGCATCAGTTACTTTTTGAATTAGATCAAATTGTATTCATCGTTTATCACTATATTTATTTATAATCATGTCAGTTGGAACTTTTGCTGCATGTTTATTACTCCAAATATCATTTGTAAAGTTTATCCACTTTGTTTTCTTATTTCAGTGACTAAATGATCTTTAAACAAATAATGTAGTAGCACTGACATTTTCTTTGTGATAGTACTTTTCATAATGTGCTTGTTGTTAATAGTTTTATAGTGTTGCTGTAAAGTTAATTTCAAAGCTGGTAGTATTTGCAAAGTTTGCTATGTATTTTTGAAAGTAAAGAATAATAATACAAGATTTTCTTATTGTTCTGACTATGTTATGTTAAATGAAGCTGTTTGTTAATTTGTTTATTTGATTTTAGTTTAATTGATTTAAATGTTTATTGGTTAAATATTATAGTTGAAATAGATTATAAGATGTAGAAATGTAATTATTATCTAAAATACTACTACTTCAGATTGGATTTGTCAGGTATCAAGCACCTCTGCGTTTAAATAGCATTTTGTGTCAAATGCACCAAACCCAGTGCTTTCCTAACTCCATTTGTTTGGGTCACCCACTTTGTTTTAAAGTCTAGCAGCCCCTTAAAAGAGGCTCAGCTGTAACTCTTTAGTATTGAAAGTAGTCAGTGTTATCTGAAGTTCAAGGTCAGTAGCCTGTTCCTCTGATAAACGTTTTTCATGGTTTTCTTCAATTAGTACAGCCATCTTGACCACCGCAAGAGCCTCACTGAAGGTATAACCATCAGATCTGTCTCTTTTGGCAATCTTCAGAGCTATATTCTACTCTAGCCTTCGAGACTGCCCTTTTTCACCTTTCCCTTTGGATTTTTCAACCCAAGCAATTATCAATTCTTGGCACTTCCTTTTTTAACAGCATGTATTTTCTGCTAAACGTTTTGCTTAATATATATCCCCCCTGCTTAACAAACAACTTTCATGTAACCATTAATACTAAAATGATTTCTGATTAGATGTTGGCAAGCTTGAAGTATATTAACTGGGTTATAATCCCTGGAACTCTACACGAACTATGACACAAACTGCGTTAGACAGGCAAGAGTACCTGAACTAAACTTTCAAAACAACTTGCGTAACCATGCCATACTCAGGCTTTCAGGTTTGTTCTAATCAGCAGGTCTCTCTTCTAAACAAGCAGCAGCAGTGGACAACAGCCTGTCTTTCTGTTACGGAATCGTGCTTGATTATGATTCTTACTTCTCATTTAACCTATGCCATTTGACATGAAATCTACCTGCTATTTACTAAACCTCTGGACTGACCAAGTATGTGACATAATGAGACATTAAAAAAAATGAACATAACTGTTAGTAAAACGTAAATGTCTCTTCCCTCAAATATGTCCAATAAGTGTAAAATATTTAATGCTACTTGATCAATTGCTTAAAGTTTATTTTATTTTCAAGCTTATTAATAATTATGTTAATTCATATTTAGTAATAATGCATTCTACTTAGGGATCTATATTATTTTTAGGATGGTATTACAAATGTGAAATGCAGGCATCGGTAATATTTTTAATTGAATTTATTCAGTTTGCATTTGCTCATAGGTCCTTAATTTTTTCATTAATGGTTCTTAAAAGTCCTTAAAAGTACTTAATTTCCGTGTGCAGAAAAATGTGTACGAACTCTGTTATTTTTAAAATGACCTTCATACTTGTGTGATCTTTCATCATAAGAAATGAATGCATTAAAATACTGAAGTATCTGATTTAATTTCACTATTCATAGTCTCTTAAATATGTGTTGCTTCTATTTTTAGGTATCATCAAAGGGTATTGTATATTGATATTGATATTCATCATGGGGATGGTGTTGAAGAAGCCTTTTATACCACTGATCGAGTTATGACTGTATCTTTTCATAAGTATGGAGAATATTTTCCTGGAACTGGGGATCTAAGGGTAATTTTGATTACTTCAAGCTTATTTTTGCTTATTTATATTTAATATTTTTCTCAATATATGCATGTGTTTATACATACACATGTTATGATTTAGATACACTGAAATGCCATTGAACTAGGAACAGATAGCATTAAGTAAATATAATGGCATTGTCACCTCATGTATACACTTGTGAGGATGCTGCCACATCTAAGCAGTTGTTTAGCCTGATGGATACAATTTTTTATTTAGATGCCTTCAATCAAGGATAAGTAATTGGTGCTCATGATTTTAATTTCAGAAATAGTTTGAGAATGAGAATTTTTTTCATTTCTCAGTATCAATACTATGAAGAGAGTACTGGGAGGGGGGTAGAAAACATAAAAAGAATGATTAATTGGAAAAATTGCCTCGAGTCATTGTTATTTTCAAAAGCTGTGCTCACGTCAGTATGTGGGTGTCAGAAGCTGAAAATGTACTAGAGTACCACTTTTCACTGCACTTAATGTTTTGTATGACCATAAAACATTGTGACTGCACCATTGACAACTGGAAACAAATAGCATGGAGTAATGAACCTTGTTGTAACTGCATCATGCTGATGATAGGCTAAAAATGTTATGCCATTCCCATTAATCTAAGCTAGTGCTTTTCTGTTTTCGTAACAGATGTTATATTGCAATCCACTGCCCAATGAATTTGTGGTATATTGAATCTGTAAGAATTATTAAAACAAATATGTAACTGAAATGTATTGGCAAGGCCACATAAAATAGCTTTGGGGGCTGATAGACCACAGCCCTAGAGTTATAGCCAGTTCTTAGAATGTTGAAAGGAACGCTCTTGAAGTAAAGCATAAGGACAAAGCATAATGTTTCACTCTAGAAATAAAGCATAATGAATCTTTGAAATCAATAATCTTTGAAAGTTATTTACAGTCAAAAGTCGTTAATCCGGACTCGTCGGGACTTCGCGATTCAGGATTATAGATCATCAGTTTAAATCTCGTAAGATGGCATGCAGAAATTCTAAAATTAAAAATATGAAACCATATTTATGAAAAAGAACATTATGATAAAGGGTAACAAAATACAAAAAAAAAAAAAAAAAAAAAAAAAAAAAGAGCTTAATATTTTTTGTTACTTTATTAAACATTTCTATCAATGTAAGTTGTTTAAGTTTGTTTTGTTTTATGTGATTATACTTTCTCTTTAATTCTATAAACAGACATAATTTCTTGTTCAGTTACAAAGTTCCGCTGTTCAAGTCCTATAATTGCGGTGTCGAGAATACCGACTAATTTGTCAATTGAAATTGTTTCGTTTTCGATAACGTCTGTGTCATTTTCTTCACTATCGGAAGCGATATTTTCTGGATCTAGAACCATACTACAGATTTCGCTGTTCGTTAATTGATTGATGATTGGGGCATTGTCGTCGCAATGAAAAAACTTCTTACATCATCTTCATTTACTGCTTCTCCACTTTCTTTACAAAATCCAATAACGAAAAATTTCACCTTTAGTTTGCGATGTCCAAAACCTTCAATTCGCGGCTATCATCTTATCCTCCTCACCATGAAACCTGGTAGATGGCCATAAATTATGCCAAGCATTTATTAACGTACTGGAGACACATCCTCCCACGATTGCGATGCTCCACACGGCAGTTTTTATGCTAAAAATTTTAAAAATTCTTGAATATCTTGTTCAAGAAATTAACATAGATTTAAAAAATGCTGCTTATATTTGCATTTCAGCGCGTGCACTATCCCATATCCTAGGCTGAATATAGACATACAATTTGGAGGCATAAAAAAAGATGTATTATCTTTCATTAAAAACTTTAAGTGAAGTATGCGCCGAACAGTTATCAACAATCGAACTATTTTTAAGTCATCAGGTAAACCACCGAATTCAAATGTCGCCGAGCCTCGGGTATAAAATGAGTTTCAACCCAATCATTCATAACACTTGTCATCCATCTTTTATTGCGGGATATATAACAGGGAAATCGTTACTCCTTTAAACGGTCGAGGTCGTGCATGTTTTCCGATTACAAAAGTTTGCACTTGTGCGTTCCTGTAGCATTTGCGCACGCTAAAATTGTTAGTCTCCTTTGGAATCTTGACACCAGTTGGGCATTTCTGTAGGTTTGCCAAGGTTTTTCGCAGTACATATTGCCAGAAAAGACAAGTTCATCTGCATGTAAATTTGTTCTGAAGATAATTGTTCACTGTAATGATTCAATGAATTCATCTGCAAATTGTTCAGCAGCTTCAGTATCAGCTGAAGATTTTTCACCAGAAATTTTTTAATTGTCCAACCATGCCGATTTTTAAATTTTGTTAACCAACCTGTCGAATATGTGCACTTTCCATTTAAGTTCATTTTTTCATGAAATATTTTGGCTTAAGCCATTACCATTGGACCCGTCAATGGCACGCCCTCGCTGTGACGCTGTCTGACCCATTCAATCATCACTCTGTCATGATCGTCACTTTTAGCATAACGAACCCTTTTTCTGTTATTCATTGCAAGTGGGGTCTCGGAATCCACAAAAAAATCAAAAAGTTCCTTTTTCTTTTTGCTTATGTCATATACAGTTGATTTCCAATTTATTCTTGCATACTTGAGACGGATATGCCTTTACCCTTTTTGCAAGCAATTCCACTTTTTGTTTGATGGACATCGAAAAGTCGTTTGTAGATCCTTTGGGAGCTCCAGCATCGAAATTATTTGACATAATCGAAAGTTCAAGTTTACTTTATAAAATTGCTCTACAGTCTGCAAAAAATAATAAGCGGGATTAATTCGAAGATTAAGGAAGATGCAATCATTAACACCTTAACTGAAATAGATAATTTAGCTTAACCATCGTTATACATTAAATGCGCAGGCGAAAGTATTCTGCACTTGCGCACATGCATATGTGCAGTCGTCAAGGTCTTATGTGAACGTGTAAAACGCCTGAAAGTTTTTAGCTTTGAGGTCCGGATTATGGGTGTCCGAATTAACGACTTTTGACTGTAATATGTAACTAACAAACTGAGCTATTTAAAGGCGACTAGTGCACTGTTTAATAATAAATTCTTTATTTTACTTTTTTAATAATGTGTTTCATTAATTAAAATTAATTTAAAGCATATTTAACTCATAATTTTTATGAACATCTGTGGCTTTGTAGAAGTTAATAAAAGCTGTTTCTAACACCATGTATTATGTAACCGGTACAAACTCTTTTTTTTTTCCCCCTTTTTTTGGATTGCACTTTTATTTTCCACATATCCTTGTTTGATGATTAAACCAATGATTTCAGTTTTAGTCTTTGTGCCATCAGATGGATCAGAAAGTAAACATTTAAATTTACTTCAAATGTTTATTAGAATTTAGCATTTTTTGTTGAATTGTTCTTAAATATATACATTCTCAATTCCAAGGCATCTCTTATATCTAACCATCTTGATATATTGCAAATAAAAAAAAAATTATCTTCACCCTCATTTTAAACAAGAATGATATTATTACAAAAATAGCCTAATTAACAAATTTTCTATGCAAATTAAAAAAAAAAAAAAAAAGCTTCACCCTCATTTTTAACAAGATTTGATATTATTACAAAAGTGTGCTAATTAACAAATTTTCTGTATATTTTCAAGAATTATTTTCACTGATCCAATAAGCACTATAGCAATTTCTTGTGGTAATCTGTTGAATTGTTCCTGAAAGAATAGATTTTAAATACAGTAGTTTTTTCCAATGTTAATTTTGTGTGGACTTTTATATGAAAAAATAAATACAGGAGAGACCCCCCCCCCGAAAAAAAAAACTGTTTTCACTGATGTGAAAATGCAACATCAGTCATTAATGTGCTAATTCCCCTTTGCTTTCCTTAGCTTCTTTTGTGGGTCTGTCAGACTGTTATTATGTTACATACGTAATTTTAGCTGTGTGCCAGTATTAGCTTTAGACTCATTTGGAATGTAATGACTATTGAAATATTGCTAGTGCTTTTCTATTTTCTTAACAATTGCTACAGAGATGTGTGCTATATATCTTCTTGATAAAAACTCTCCCCACACACACACCATAAGAAGAATAGATGTATTTCTTTTAGAAACATGATTAAAAACATTTTCATTAGTTGGAATTAACATTTTTAGTTTATTTTAATTAAGTGTACTTATTTACAAAATGAGGTACCAGCTTACTACAACATCCTATTACAGCCATTTCTTATTGGAGCATTAAACTATTTTTAAGAAGTTTATTTGCGTCTAATACAGTCAAAAGTCGTTAATCCGGACTCATCGGGACTTCGGCAATTCCGGATTATCAAGTGTTGAGACGGATATGCCTTTATCCATTTTTTCCACAATTACTTTTTTTGATGGACATCGAAACATACTTTCTTTGTAGATCCTTGGGAGCTCAGCATCGGAAATTCTATTTGACATAATCGAAGTTCAGTTTACTTTTAAAATTGGGCTTACAGTCTGCAAAAAAGAATAAGCTGGATCCATTCGAAATTAGAACAACTCATCAGTAACATTACTGAATTAATAATTTTAGCTTACACCGTCCTTTATACATTAACTCGCAGGCGAACGTATCTGCACTTGCGCAGACGCATATGTGCAGTAGTCAAGGTCTTACGCGCGCGTAACGCCTGTGCGCATGTGCCAACGCGGCGCATGCGCAGAAAGTTTTTAGCTTTGAGGTCCGGATTATGGGTGTCCGAATTAACGACTTTTGACTGTATCTTACGAGATCTTCAAACTCGTACAGCCTTAAAAAGTTGGAGAGTGATAAGTCCTTCTCTTACTCCCCATCGTCTAAGGTGCAATGTAATTGTGGCTTTCCGTCTGTCTATGGGGTGGGATTGCCTTGCTGCCCACCCGCACCACATTGCCTAGTCATTAGAATTTTTTTTTAAAGTTTATTTTAATTATGTGAAGATTTAAAAATGTATGTATGAAGGATTATATGATTAATGGTATTTGTTTCATATCTGGCAATCATATGCTACTCCTTTCCCCTAAAAAATCTATTATAGAATGTCAGTAAATAGTATATTTTTTTTTTAATTGGTGTATTTACATTACCCTGTTTAGAGTCATTATTTTACGAAATAAGTTAATAAATAAAAATTTATATTAATTCTTTCCCACCCCCAGGACATAGGTGCAGGTAAAGGGAAATACTATGCTGTCAATTTTCCTCTTCGTGATGGTATAGATGATGAGTCTTATGAACAAGGCATTTTTCAACCAGTAAGTAACTTCTTATAAATGCTAATTATTAAAAAATCTTGAATTTCATGCAAATAAGACTTTATTCTAAAATCTGGGGCTACCTTCCTTCTAACTAACAAATGTAGTCTATTTATTTGGTATAAAAAATTTGTTTCTTCTTGAATAACAGAATGAGAGACATTAAATTATTACAAAGTACGTTCACTTTATGATTTTCTGAATGATTTCTTAGCAATGCCTTATTATGAATTAAGTTTCTAGTGTCTTCCAATTTTAATAAGCCCCCCCCCTTTTTTTTTTTTTTTTTTTGTTAATTTAAAAGTAAAATAATAGAATAAGGTAAATATGTTAAATGACATACTGTTGTAAGTTCCAGTTCCTTTTTTCAGGGTTTCCAATTGAATTTTAGAATGAATCTAAGATTCTTCAAATATGAAATATAATAAACAAAAAATAGAAGGTAAAAATAATAAGCAAAAAAATAAAAGGTTTATGAAAACGATCTCTAATTTGTAAGATTTAATTACATTGGATTTCTGTAATGGCCAACTTTCTCGATTTTTTTACACTTCTGGTCTTCCGATAGATCGCCGAACTTCCGTTTTTTAATTTTTAGTATTTGCTAATGAAAGTAAGCACTAAAATTAAATTGTGCAAATTTCATTTTCTTATCCCTAGTGATTTTTTCATTAGATTTTATTTGAAGTCAATTTCCTTAATCTGTGGTGGATATTTATAGAATTTTATATGAATATTCAACCCATGATTAATTAGTTAATATTTGTATTTCATTTGGCTTTACATCAATATGTAGAATCATTAGGTTCATTTTGGAACAGAAAAAATATGCAGTGTCTTCATTAGAATTCGAAGTCTGGGCCTTCCTATTGGTAGACATATGTGCTACCAATTACACCATGAAAGTAGAGAGAGCTTTGGGCCTAGTTGCCAAATCCTAATAGTGATGAATTTCGTCCACCACATTCTAGTTAATTCCACTGTAGAACAATTTTTTGATTTTTTTAAAAGCAGGAGATGTAAAAAAGGGGAAGTGCTCTTGCTGGGATTCGAAGTACTGACCTCCTGATTACTAATCAGATATGCTTCCAATTACACCATGACGGTACATGTTAAGAAAGTATCTTACAAATATATGATACAGTACTAAGTTTATTGACACAATAATATGTACACTAAATATTAATTTTATATTTACTTAAAGTACTTTTATAAATTAAAACTTCCTTGCCTACTCAATATTTTCTCACTGAAAAGATGCAAGAAAATTACAAAATTAAGTTTAATAAAAAGCATAAAATTTAGTATATATAATTAAATATCAATATATTTTATGTCAAAATCATTTTAAATAGTTGAATAAACTGAATCATGTTATAAAGCAAATTTAAATCAATTTTGAGTTCTTTTAAAATGATGCCTCAATTCAGTGCAAAAACACTCTGGAAACACTCTGGACTTTTTATATTTCAAGGTAAGTAGATATAAATTTCCCAGAAATTTTTTTTTTTTTTGATTTTTTTACATTTTCTCAGCTTTTACATATTAAAAATCTTTTAAATCATGTATGATAATTTATACTATGTGATAAATTAGTTTCGAATCTAAATGGAGTACCATTTCAAGGGCTGAGGTCAAACCCATTGAAGGTTACAGTTTTTCCACCCACTTTTATAGGATAGTAAATCAGTCTTTCTTCAGACTAATTTATTTATTTATATTATCTTTGAGTGCTGTGCACAAATTTATTATATGAACAATAGATGTTTGCAATATTTGATAATAATTTTTAGAATCTTTGATTCATTGTATTAGTTTATCTACCAGTGATATTAGTTATCATTCAGCTGGAATGTGGCATATAGGTTATTTTTAAAATTTTCTAGCACTTGGACTGAAAGAAAGTTTTCCTCGTCTTCCCCCTTCAGAAATGCTGATAGATTTTTGTTTTGAGCCATGTTATAATACAGATTTTAATTCGATGTACGGTTTCTATCATTTGCATTTACTTATATGTCTCAAATACTTCTTTTAGTAAGACGGACCAGTTGCAAATGACATTTGTTTTTTATATAATAGTTGTTCAAATTATTTATATTATGTTAATTTATTAAAAAATATTAAATTATAATTAAAGTGGTTAAATTTTTAAATTATTAAATGTTGAATTATGTTTCGAACCTTGTTAAATAGTGGTTTTAATTCACTATTTAACAAGGTAGATTGTATGGTATCTGTTTACTTGCATATCTGAAATATTTTTTAGGGTAAGAGTCAACAGAAAATGATACTTCTTTTTTCAGTTAATGTTTTCTAAATTATTAAGCAGACGTTTAAAAGACTTTATTTCAATATAGTCTTTAGAAATGAGAGTGTAATTGGTGGAACAATCTGCTGCATGAGAAGCTGTATTGAATATGTATAAATTAAATATCATTTTATTAATTTATCATGCTTCATATATTTTGGTGTAAATAGTTTTACTAAATTTGATATATATTCTATTGTTTGTACTGCAAATAACATATTTCCACTCAAATGTGCATATGTAATATTTACCTACATTGTTGTTTAACAGCTAATCTCGAAAGTAATGGAAATGTATCAACCAAGCGCCATAGTTCTTCAATGTGGTGCTGATTCCTTGTCTGGTGATAGGCTTGGCTGTTTTAACCTAACATTAAAAGGTCATGGCAAATGTGTTGAATTTGTGAAGAAATATAATTTGCCACTGCTGCTGTTGGGTGGAGGTGGCTACACTATTAGAAATGTTGCTAGATGTTGGACTCATGAAACGTCCGTTGCACTTAATCATGATGTAGCAAATGGTATGTGAATTCTAAGATTTTTTATTAAGTAATGAACATAGATCTAAAGTCTGCCATTTAACATTTTATTGGTTTTTCTTTCTTTAATTAAGCAAAAGCTTTACAGAATATTGTGAAATGTCTGTGTAAAATATTTAAAATTAGCCTCGTTTTATTTGTAAATATAATATTTAAGGTCAAGCGCAAAAAATTTACTGACATCAGTATGTTTCTATTTTTAATTAGTGACAATATGTTGTATATTTGGAAGTATAGTATGCAGCTTCATTTATCCAAATTGAATGAGATTGGCTTATATGAGTGATTTATATGGATATAGCTTTCTCTCTTTATAAAAGCAACTATACAAATAAATATTTACTTTAAATTATTGCATTATTTATTTTAATTAAGTAGAAATTAATTTTCAAGTGTTTTATTTTGTGATTAAATTATGTAAAAACAATTGTAATTGCAAAGGAATCTAAAAGAAATTTTTTTAAAGTATTTTTAACAAATATATTAACTGTGTCTTCTGTTACATTATTATTCACAGCTAGTATGCTTATTGTTTATGTTGTTGAAACATTTTTTGTTGTTGTTGTTGAGAGTACAAATCTCTCGCATTTAAGTGCTGTAATTATAAACTCAACAAGTAGAATTTTTTTAGCTAAGCCCCCAAGATTAAAACAGATTGAATAAAAGAAACATAGATTGTTGGAACAAAAGTAATGATTGTAAGAAGTCCCAAGGATCCGAGAATTAATATTTTGATTACTGGGGTAAATAAGGAATTTAGTTTACGAAGTACTTTTGTGATATAATTACCTCCACATCATCAGAGTAGAAGTAAAGTATTAAAAAATGGCCAGCTGCGTAAGATAGCTTCCAGCAAGGAAAATTTAGGGTTGGCAGAAAATGGTAAGGGAAGGCATGATTGCCATATTTGGCGAGAAATTACCCATTTGGCGACAAAATTGGTGATATGCTATAGACGGATGGAGAACCTTCTAGAACGGATTCTTACCAGTTTGGCTCAGAATGTTCTCAAAAGCTCTATAACCTTGCCTGTTTGCTGAGTAGCAGTCACTCGCGAGTTTATCGTGTGTCTCATAGTCTAGTGTTGAGTTGGTCGTCGAGTGTGTCATGAGTTGGTGCATCGAGAGTGCGCATTGAGGCTATCGAGTGCGCGAGTTGTAGCTTGGAGAGTCTTGAGAGCATGCTGAGTTCCAAGAACAACCTAATTGAGTTGAGCTGTATTCTAGTGCTTTGCCGTGAAGCTGTCTTCACCATTATAGCCTGAAGGCTGTATTGCTGATTGTTTCAGCATGTTTGTCATTGTTTTCCAGTGACTGTAAACATGTGTTAGAACTATCCTGAATAATACTGGCTAATAAATTGAGTTTTCATTCTTTATCAAGTGTTGTCATTATTTACTCCAAATCCTTGAACCCCTTAGAAACGCAACAGAAGTAAGACCAAGCGTTTGCTAAAGAAAGAGAACATCATTACGACTAAAGAAAGGTTTTTGTTAAGAACTAGAGTTATTGGAGGATTTTGAAAAATTTTGCTTACACAGACTTTATGAAGACATACTTCTTCAGACTTTATGAAGAATCTTTGTTGACAAGTTTTTACAGGTTCGAATAACTTTTCTTTAGGATAGTTGATGTTTGAAATTAAGGACTCTATTGTAATAGCCATTCATTAAACAGAAAGAGAATATCCTTCTTTTAGATAGTGGGAGGCTGTCAAAAATGACTTTGCTTTAATAGATGAATATAAGCAATAGGTGTATTAGTTGTCAGGTTTTAAACTCAGGCCCCAAATATTATGCATTTTGGAAAATAAGTTTAGGACGGTGATTTTGAACTTTTTTATTGCACTTCTGCCCTATTTAACATATTTTTTTATAAATAATGCCAAAACAAGATATTTCTTATTGATATATTAATTAATAAATAGTTATATTAACACTTTGCTGACCTTCAATGCTTTGGTAAAAATTTTTGTGGGATTACATGTTGCAGAAAACCAGAATTCTGTTTTCATCTGGCAATAGGTATTACACCATTCAAGTTCTAGTGACCTCTGAAATTAGAACTCAGAATTTGTCTTTACTATATTAGAAGCTATGTAAAAGTAGTTATGCAAACAACTTGCATAAGAATAATATTGTGTATTTTTAATTTCAGTTCATTTTTTCTATAGAACTTCTGATAAATCTGGGCATGGTATTTTTTAGTACTTGCCATTTGCACAACCACCTTGCCTCGGTTGAGCGATCCCCCCCCCCCGGAATAATGATAATTTATAATTGTAAAAAGAAATCTGTTATTTGTTGTTTATATATGTATTTTATGTTTTAATTCCATATTTATCTTGAATTACAACAACAACCAAAAAAGGGGGAAGGCAGGAAAATGATGACATTACATGTTAAATTGAAATTTTTTTACATACATAGTTAGTTGAAGAACTGTTAAACATGTGGTTTTCAGTGTTTGGTGCATCCTGAAAATTGGGCATAAGGGGTCTTTACTCTTCTATTATGCAAGTGCGTTACTTTTTAATGAGTTGATAAAATTTGTTAGAATATAGTGTGATATTAGAATGTATTTTAGACTTTGTCACTCGACTGGAGTAAGCAAAGTACAAGAAGAAAATAAAATGCTTTTATTCATTCCTAGCATAGGGTTGTTAAACTCCCCATCCTCCCCATGAACATAATATTTATCATAAACAACTTTTAAATTAATCATAAGCAACTGTATCATATTACATCATAAATAATTATAATATAAATAAATTCTGTCACATCATTCAGCAGAGAAGTTTGGTGCTACCATCTATTGGCAGGATACCCTCAGTATGGGCACTGGTATATTTTATATACCGGTATTAAAATTTTATAAATAATTTTCTTTTAAGGATCAATAAAAATGCACTAAATATATGAGTTTCAGCATGTGTACATCATATATTTTAAGATTTTAAATTTTTTCTTAACCTTCTATATAATTTATGAATATTCAAACATGCTACTTTTGAATGAGGTATATTAATTTCATAACTGCAAAGTATTGAGCATTCATATGGTAGTGCTGCCATTTGGAATCAAAAGGAAGCACTAGAAACTGAAGATTACATCTTTTAGTGTAGAAAAATTAGCATTTTTTTAGGAGGTTTAAAATTAACAAATTGGTCAGTATATATTACATACTGGTGCCGTTTAAAGGGTTAACAGAAACTGAAATAATGTTTTCTACTTAGGCATTGTACACAGCGAAACTTTTGTTTAAAACATTGACTACAAATATATATATATATATATTTTATGCATTATATTTGCATTCCTGAAAAGGTTACGTGGATTGCAAATATAAGTGCCATTCTTATGGTAATATTTGCTGTAACTAATTATTTGTATTTATAGAAAAAATGAAATTACAAGATTTTTGTTTGTATTCTAATACATGAAATAATTTGATATGAAAGTTATATAAATGAATAAATAATTTAATAACTAATGCTAGAAAGCTGCCAAGATATTTTTTATTCGGCTGATTAATAAAAGTGTACATTTTATATTATTTTTAATTGTAATTATTATATTAATTTACATATGAAAATGCATTAGGCTTTTAAATTTCATCTAAATTAATTAGAAAACTTTTAGTTAATCGTGTACTGCTTGCAATAACTTTTAATGTTGCATGGTATATCGTGTTAAAAGTATGTTTTTGTGAAATACATTAATAGATTTATTATTTATTTAATTAAAATTATTTGTGTTTATTTCAATCAATTCTTTTGTTTTCTCCCAAAGGATAAAACTCAAAAGAAAATTTTCTCATTTACTTATTTTCTTCTTTAAAACCAGTTATTTTCTTTGTTTCCTTGGTGTTTTTTCTTCAAAATGTCTGATCTCCTTCGATCCCTTCGTTGATGAGTTTATTTAATAATTAATTTTGCAAACTAGTTGCTGCTACCTGAGAAATTAAGCACTCTATTTAAATTTTTCATGGGCTTTTCATTCATGGGTATTTTATTCATGGGCTTGAGCACATGAAATTAATGAGAATTTTTATTATCCCCAAATCTGAATCATTATTACCATCACCCAAAGAGGTAATGATATATTCTGCCTTTCCATATTTTTAAGCGCAGAGCAGGTATACTACGTTTATGTGACTGACGGTAACATATAAATATGGAAGAAAGTTTTTAGTTATTTACATATAAGATTTTAAATAACGACAGAATTTCTACATTAATATATTTATTGTGCAGATATTAGAATATCATTTTCATTGTATTCTGACATCTGCATTGTTAAATTTATTATTAATATTGTTTTAATGTCATAAAAAGTTATTTCTGTGTTTTAATAAAGATTAATTTGTAGCGTCATTATATCTTATTCATTTTAATTTTGTCTGAGGATTTTGGTTAGTATTCAGAAATATAATATTAATAATTTTCATTTTGTCATAAATGTAGAAGGATTATCTTTTATAAATTTAAAATGCATTTTATTTTCCTCTTTAGAGCTACCATATAATGATTACTTTGAATATTTTGGACCTGATTTTAAACTTCATATTAGTCCATCTAACATGGCAAATCAAAATACTCCTGAATATCTTGAAAAAATAAGGTAAGTAGAGAGGAAAAACTGATTCTTTGAAATTTAGTTTAAGTTCCATTATAGTTTTTCCCTTCCTATTTACAGTTTTATAGCATGTTAATAATTAATCTTCACATTATTTGTGTTAATGGCATATTTTCAAATGGCAAATCAGTAAATATGGGAACAAGAGTTCTCAATGGCATATTATTTCGTATAGTGTGAGAGATATCCTTATGAGGCTGAAACTATTGACAATTGGGATATTGTTATTAGGTCACTTCATAAAAATAAAGAAAAAGGAATGTGAAGTACTGGAGTACATGGTGTCATCACATTTCTCCATCTAAAGGGGATATCACCATCTTGTAGAGGTATACAATCCTAATGTCACATCATACAAAATATGTAGTTTTTGTGCATTGATAATGCCAGGACAGACATGCATAGCAAGCAGTGATCTTGGCAGCCAAATGCACCCACCCATAATACATGATAGAATTTGCTGTATTGGAGATGGAGTTGGGCGATATTTTGATATTACAGGCACCTATCCATAATGCATGATGGTCTTTGCTGTGTTGGGGATACGACTCAAGAGGATCAGTGCATTCAACTTAACCCGTTCAGTATGGGCATCAGAATCAAATGATATCAGCAGCGAACATTACCTCACGCCCGGGTGTGTCATATTTGACTTTTTAGATAGAACATTTAATTAATATTTTTTGTTGCCGCTAGATGTAGCTGTATGTCTGTTATGGGGAAATATATTGAAAGTTAAGTATGTGTACCTTCATTCCTATGCAATGTTTTTATTTTTGGTATTTTGTTTTGGAAAGAGAGGGAGATTTGTAGGTGGGTGTTGAGCAATGTAATGTCTCTTTAACTGCCTCATTTGATATAAACAAATGCATGTGTTCTCAATGCTTTGAGCTAATTTTTATTTTTATTTATGCGATATAGGTATTTGAGCGTAGAAGAATGTACACAAATGCTAATTGGTTAGTGTTGAGTCATTTCATATAAACAAATGAACATGTTCTCATTGCTCTGGAATACTTTTTAATTTTATTTATTTTTTTATCACCATATAGTGGAGTAGATGTTTTATTAGACTTTTTTATTACTCTTTGATTTTTCCAGATTTAAGACGAATATTTTGTATGGCTTAACGGAAGTTTTTTTTTTTTAATGTTCTATTGCTGGTGTTCTATTTTTTAATGGCAAAACGAAAGTGCTATCTGACCGTAGAAGATACACAAATGCTAAATGAGTCAAATTTGCTGATATTCTATTCTTGTGACATTTGTAGCATTGGATTTTGCGTACACCCATGTTTCAAAGAATATCATACATTGAAAATTATATACATCATTTTTTGAAATATTGCTTCCTTTTCATTGTTTGCAAATTGGAATTTTTATGAAAGACAGTTTGAATATTTTAAAATTTTAATTATGTGTTGTGTTAAATAAAATCTGTGATTGTTTGGATATTTTTCCATATATATTTAATTGTGGGATAAAGGAAAAATTATATTATTCTAGAATGAGTATTTTATAAATTTTTAAGGAAAATATAACAGTAAAGGTTTAAAATTAATTCAGACAACTACCTAAATGTTCTTCTCATAGTGTACCAAAAATTGGAACAATTGGATGACAAATTTAATTTATACAAATTTTTTCCAAAGTTAGGCTTAGGAGCACGAATTGCCCGTCCCCACAAGACGACGTATCCGGTTAATGCACCGTCCCAAGAGAACTCTTCGGTAACAGAGGTGCCCATCGTGAACGGGTTAATGATTATTGCTAATGCGCTGGATATCAGAATGGAAAATTCACTGAACATGAATTCTAAGCAATAGGGGTCACAAAAAACAGTCTCTTTGAATAATTTAATATAGTTTATACATTTTGTTTGCCTGAAATTCTTTATACACTCTTTTGCAAAAAAATTGAAGCACCAAAAAGGACTTTTGCGGTCGTGACGAAATTTTGTATGCAAAAACATCTTGATCGAACATGCAAATGATCAAAGTTTCAAGGCAAATGAACAGGAATTGCTATTATAGTTTGCATTTCTAGTGCACAATTCGGAAAGTATAAAACCAGTAACAGAGTTGGAAGAGTTATCTCCTCCTCTCTTTCTTTCTTTCTTTTCCCCCCCCCTTTGGTTTCTGCGTGTAATTTCTGTAAAAGCAACTAAAATGCCATACAACGTATCGGACCTAACAGACAACTAACGACTTCCCGACATGTCGCTTGCAGGGTTGTGTGAAGCTGTGTGGTCATACTGAGTAATAGGCCACCACCTGCAGGGTACAGACACTGCTGTGCAAAGTTCTTGGTAGCAAATGATTGCTACAGGGAAATTGCCGATGAAATGAAGGCTCTGAAAAGCCAAGGATCACAAATGTGAGGCAAGATAGGATGATTGTTAGCCAGGCCAGAACCGCCCCAACGGTATCATTGTCGACTATTCAACGCACTACAACCACGACTATTCCTCCCGTGTACCGTGCACCATCTCACGGCACTTGTCTGAGGCGGGGTTACGCTCACAGAGGCCTTTAAGACGTTTGCCTTTGGCCCCACAACATCAGCGGAGTCGTCTAGAGTGGTGTCACAGCCGATCATCATGGCTGCCATCAGACTGGCATCGTATAGTGTTCAGCGGTGAATCCCACTTCACTTTTGAAGCAGATTACCATCGTGTTCATGTCTGGAGAGGACGGGGCCAGCAATCCCAATCAGCCTTTGTTTTACAAAGGCATACAGCCATAAACCCTGGTGTGATAGTTTGAGGTGCTATTTCTTATGACAGCAGGTCATCTTTAGTCATCCTTTGTACCTTTTTAACAGCTCAACGATATGTTGATACCATCCTACGGCCGGTTGCATTACCCTTCATGGCACGTCATCCTGGGGCCATTTTCCAACAAGATCATGCCAGACCACTTACCGCTCGCATATCTCTGGAATGTCTACGTTCGATTGATACCTTTCTTTGGCCAGTAAGGTCGCCAGACCTTTCACCAATCGAGCATGTCTGGGACATAGTAGGCCCCCAGATTCGGGCACCACAAAATATCGCAGATTTGGAGTGACAACTGATGAATGCCTGGGGGAGTGTGTTGCAGGATAACCTTTGCAGGAACCTCTAACACTCCTTGCATCGACGAGTTCAAGCATGCATTGTCGTCTGGGGCAGTTCGACCAGCTAATAATTTAAACACTCCGTGGGTGATTGTAAGCTGTGAACAGGTACTATGACCTTGAGTTTTTAATCATGTGATTATCTGTGTATGAGCTATACACATATTCAATTTCATCAAAAACAACACTTCCTTCATGGTGCTTCGATTTTTTTTTTTTTTTTTTTTTTTTTCCAAAAGAGTGTGCCTTTTGTTTCATGTCATGACTAAAAAAATCCTTTTTTTTATCTTTAATTTAAATAGGACTAGATTATTTGAAAATTTAAGAATGCTACCTCATGCTCCAGGAGTTCAAATGCAGCGTAAGTATTGCCTTTTTTATCTTTCCCTAAGTTATGGTAGCATGTAAAATACCAAGTTAAGATGAAGGAATTCAATATAAAAGAGACACGTGCAAAATATAAATTTTCCTTTTTAATTCTGTCAATAAAAATATGTATTTACCCTTCTTAAATGAAACTTATATGTATTATTCCTAAGAAGATTTTAAAGCATCCATGCAAAATTTTAAGTGGCATCAGTTTAACAATTTTTTGAAATACTAAATGAGATTGAGAATTTAGTTTCATTTTTTTGAAGAAAAGAGTAATTCTTTTATGTATGTACAGAAGTTTCAGAAGCTAACATATACTCCTTCTATCCCATAATAATAGTAGCAACTGATGAATTTAATATGTCCCATAATAATATTAACAAAATAATAAAATGAATGCAATATTTATTATTAAAACACTAGATTAAATAAAACATTAAATTTAAAATGTTGCTCCTAATTTTTATTTTGAGTGACAGTACAAAGTCTGAAATCCGTACGTCCTTATCCGGAATAATCTAAAATCCCGGACTCAAAGCCACAAATATTTTTTTTTTTCCTTAATGCTTTACACTGCACATTTTTTTCCTTCCATAATAAAGCTGGGGAGATTCACTTAAAATTCTGATTCTTAATTTCATAGGGCACTAATAATACCTCGTTTTGGAAAAACAATCATGTAAGCATAAATTTCTGAGGTTAGTAATTTGGCTCCGTAGCTGAGTATCTACTTCGGCATACATCTCAAACCGAAACATTAACCTATTTTTTTATATCCCTGATGCCGACCTGGCGAGTCATTATTTATTATATTTTGCTTTCATCACCGCATGTTTAGCAATACTAAAATTTTTTTTATATTAGTAATTGAATAACAAGAGTATGGCAACCTTCTATGCTAACATTACGCTTGGCGATGATTATAGATTTTTAAATGCTCTAAGAAATGTTGAGAAAAATTCAAACAAAATTTATTTTCATATGCTAAAATAGATTTTGTTAATAAACTCATAGGCCAAAAGATTATATTAGTGCTATTTTAATTAAGAATAACTGATATGTTATTCGCCACAAACCAGAAGCGGTGGCAGAATGTTGCCGACCGGACAGCAGAATTTAGGGAAGACAAAATTTTGGAATTTGAAGAAGCACCGAGCAGCAAATTAAGGATGAGAAGTTTTTCTGATTGGGAAAAGCACTGGGATCCAAAGTTTAGGCACGGTGAAAATTTAGAACTTGGGAAACCACTTTGTAGCAGAATT